CATATTCTTTTCTTCCAAATGCTTTTCACTGTTGTGTAATGCTATTATTTCAGCAGGCACAAAAACGGTTCTTTCTTCAGCAATACATTGCTAATTATAAATACTGTATACCCAGCTTATATTTTTACCATTTTTCCTAATAGTCTTTTTCATCCTTTCCCTTTCATGATGACAGTTTACACTTAAGGATCTGCAGGTGTTTTGGAGATGTACACAAGCTTCACAGGGGTAGTGCAGGATACTGTACTGCAACAAACTCTGTTCAAAGAACTCTGTGTTGAGGCTTGACAGTGTCCATGTGAAAAAGTAACTAAGAGGGTCTGCACAGAAAGGTAACATGAAAGCAACTAGAAATACAGGTTGGACAAGACAACTGGAAAAAAAGATGCTTCAAGAAATGTCACATGGATGTGATGGTGCTGATCGACTCTGTGGGGTAATTCCTGTCTGCCCTCTTTGGGAAGGATATCCAGTAAGCTACTAGATGCATTCACTCCTGATGGACCAAAGCATTTGGGCTCCCCACAGAACTGACCTGAACCTCTTATTCCTGACTTGAGCCAAGCCTTTATAAAAGGCTCTGAGAAACCTCCACATTTCAGCTCATTTGTTGAATTCTCTCTGTGAGCAACATGCTTAAGGCATCAGTGGCAGGTTTCATTTGAAACAGATGGTTAGTGACCGCAATGTAATTATAATAATCTTGAGTCTGCATAATGGTTATGATAAAACTTCAGACTAATTTCCATATTCCAAACCCAAATGACAGAAACCAGAAATGTAGGTCATTACCTGTTCCTAAATGAAATTCTTGAGAAAAGTGACTGTTATGCCCACATAAAAAGATGCACTTTTCTCTAGCTAGTATGATATTTGGCAACTCATAAAATTAGCTGTTCCTAAAAATGTAAGTGAACAAAAATCTAAAAATATCCCGTTAGCTAATTGCTTCTTGAGGATTCATTTAAGACTGACAGAATAATAATAAACATATTCACAATTTATGTGAAGGAAAATGCTAAAATTTATTGTAGATAACAATTCACACAATAAAAAATATACAAAAATGCATTTAGTTGTCTTTGCTTGTTTCTAGTAAACATGTTCTAATGAAATTATTTCTTTCATGCTTGTCATTTCCAAGTGTTTTACAAAGATTAGTAAGTACTGAAGCATACAGAGGTTGGGTGACTTGCTGAAGGTCACATGGGGATACCTCTATATCAGAGCTGTTCAGTTGGTAGATCTGTGGCCCCTGGGCTCTGTCCTGGCCACTGCTGCCCTTATCTCTCTGGTAGCAGCAACAGGAGTCTCATGGTTCACTCTCTCTCCTCTGGCTTCTTCTGCATGCCCCCAACCCAGGGTGCAGGACAGGGCATGAGGAGGCTGCATAGCCAACACACAGTGCTAGGGGAACTGGCTGCCTGGAGCACCCATGCGGTATGATGAAGTGTGGAAACCTGAAACTAGGTAGCTGAAGGTGAGGTGGGCTGCTGTGTCTCATCCAGCAGGAGGATGCTTATAGTGCCAGGGCAGGGAGGCAATGGGAGCTCCCATGGGTGCACATGGAATGCAGCCTGGGAAGCCCATGGTCCCTGCAGCACATGGCTTCTGTTGGTGCAGGCCATAGGGCACAGTTTCAAGCCACTTATAGCTGGACAGCCCTGGTCCACATCATAGCATAAAAAGCCATCAATGAGGCATTCCAGGGTCATCTCCAACAGCTACTTGCAAGCATATTAGAGGCAGAGGCCTCAAAAACAACCACAATGGGACACCCAAGAATGTGTCTACCAGTTATTCCCAGGTTTTCAGCATGCATGTAGCCATGTGGGGAAAGACACAGTCCGGAATGGCCAAGACGCCCCACTCCTGCAGAGCAGATATGTTCATAGAATGTCTGTAGAAAACCTGGAAATAGAATTCAGGTCTCTCGAGTCCTCATTCTGTACCCCAGCTTCAGGTGGGAATCCTTAGTTCACAGTTTCTGTATGCGACCCCTTTAGGATTTTTCTTTGTAGTTCTCGTAAAACTTATGGAAGTTAAAATTCTTCTGGGATGGGTGGCCCAAAACTTTGGATCCAAACATCCTCGGGCTCCTCAGGTATATAAGATCTGAGTCCAGACCTGAATTTTGGAAATGGCTCCTATCCTTGCAATAGTCTAGATCAAGGTGCCAGGGTGCCATAAGAACTTTTTAAAGGAGCCACAAGGTGCTCCACAATCTTAGCACTGTTAGGTGTGCAAACACCTACACAAGATTGACATGACAAACCCACAGATTTCAAACAGGAATTCATTGTTTCAAAAGCACTCTCAACTATGGTCTTGCTGAGTTTTTTGCCAGAAAAAAAAAATCGCTCTATTATTTTTCCATAATCAAAAAATGAGTGAAAGCTAAGAGCTGACATTTTCCAAGGGGTGCCATGAGTCTAACATGGGTGCCTTGAGTTTAAAAAAGGTTGAGAACTACTGGTCTAAATCAAATCCTTCACTCTAGATTGTTTGAAATCTGGATTCAGTTCAGAAGTTTCACCCCATCTCCATCCAAACCCTTCATGGCTGAGTACATTATTTGGAAGGTTTTCTAAGTATGAAAGAAAAGCTCTGAAGTTATGCCCATACTGCCTCCCATGCTTACTCAAGGGTCACAGCCTAGGAACATGCCGTGCTTACCTGCTCCTGATTCATAGATTCATAGATTTTGGGGGTCAGAAGAGACTTCAGTAGATCATCGCCCTAGGCAGGCAAGAGTTCTGGGGTCAGATGACCCCAGCCAGGTATACGTCCAGGCTTCTCTTACAGACCCCCAAGGTAGGGGAGAGCACCACCTCCCTTGGAAGCCCACTCCAGATTCTGGTTACCCTCACCATGAAGAAGTTCTTCTGATGTCTAGTCTAAATCTGCTCTCTGTCAGTTTTTGGCCATTGTTTCTAGTTACTCCAAGGGGCACCCTGGTAAACAGAGCATCTCCTATCCCTTGCTGCTCCACCCCCCTCCTGCCCCCCGTTGAATTTGTAGATGGCCATAAGATCACCTCTCAGCCTTCTCTTACAGAGGCTAAAGAGATCCAAGTCCCTCAATCTCTCCTCATAGGACCGTACCTGCTCAGTTCATGCCAAGCCTCAGAAATTAGGCAGCACAGCCAGCTGAGAGCAGCCCTAGGCTTTGCTACAGACTGAGTTGGAAGGAGTGGACAGATTATTTCTTGGTGGCAGTCTGGAGTCGATTCAGAGATCGCACAGACAAGCTCTGCATAGTCTAAACCTAACAAAATGAACCCAGTTCCTGTCACCATTTTGTATTCTCATGAAGAAAGAAGCCAAGCTGATCATAGAATTCCAAACCCAATTTGTATGGTATTAAGAAAATGACAAGTGTTTCACCCAATAATATTGCAACTAGCTAAAAAATAAGGGAACATATTAGATTAAATCAGTGCATCTATAAGTGAAAAGGAGCCATTTATGGGAATACATCCTCCTAATTTATTATCATCAGTGTCTACTACAAGCTACATTAGTTCTGCCAAGAGTAAAATGGGTCTACAAACTTCATTACAAAAAAAATAATCAAATCATCTTTGTAAAAGCCCTATGTCTACAAGTCAGTAAAGGGAGTGGTATGGGTCAATTAAAGGGAGTGGTACATGACCGGGGGAGTGATCATCTTTGACCAGGAAGGATCGCTGCTGCCGCCGCTTCCTGTTTGTTTGCATGTGCGTGTGCATGTGCACATGTGTATGCATGTGCACACATGTACATGCACACACACCTGTAAACAGACATGTATGAATATACATATAGGCATATACACACATATATAGGAGAATTTCTCACACTGGCTACTGCAACACTTTTGAAGCATGAGTGCAAAAGATTCTGGCTTGGGCTTGAATATTAAAGATATCCATTCAGCATTCACCCATGGAGAGGCTAAAATGATAGACAGAGGGATACTTTGGTTTGCTGATAACAAACCAAATTCTTTCCGTCCCTAGAAACACCACTGCACTGAATGCTAGCCCAGACCATAGTAACAAAACAAGACTTATACGTAAATTTAGAGAAAAAGACATTAAAAGCCTGATTCAAAGCCCCAGTAAAATCAGTGGGTGTCCTTCCAACAAACTTCAAAAGTCTTTGGAGTCAGGCCCTTATCTTGTGTTAATATTAAAAATGTGAGTGAAGATTAAAGGTATTTGTTGATCCTAAGGGAAATAAAAATGCAGTTAAATTCCATCTTTCAAAATACATTTTTTTGTATTTTTACATATAAGTCAGCATTCTAGGCAAGTTTTTACATGTAAGTCAGCATTCTAGGCAAGTTAAGTAACCACTGCACACGCATGGCTAGGTACAGTTCACTAAGCACATGAACCAAGCAAATCTCAAGAAACCAAGTATTGTAGCATTAGTCAGAGGCTAGTAAGAAAGCTGGAAGAACACTGCAAAGCCAGAAAGGCATCACACGATCAAGGCAATGCTTAGAGGGCAGCAAATTATTAGGAGGCAGCATAACACTCAGCGACCAGAAAAACTTGAGGGAGAAAATCAATGTACAAGGCAGAGGTTGTGCAGAAAAAAGGTATATATTATCCTTTACCGTTACCTTCAGATTTAGGGCTAGGAGTAGACGCAGGAAACTGGTATGTAGGAGAATAAGGATTGTGTTCTGCAGCAGAGAAAAGTAGTGGGTTTTGAGACTATCCACCATGAAGTGGAGGTACAATGCTGTTCCCAAATTTCCTATCACCATAAGCTTTTATTGTCTATTTTAATGATATGAGAGCACACTGGCATCTTACTTTCAACATATTAATAATGGGTTAGGAAGGATTAGGTCAGTTTATATATCACATAATAAGGCACACTGGGTGCAAATGAACTTCTGCCAAAAGTAATAAATGGATCATGGTAATTTAGTATCTGGATCTAGTTACTATTAAGGAGCTATAGTACAGTTAATTCAAACACAAGACAACAGATACTCTGGCTAAACTTGTGGTACCTTCGGGTTTTTGCTGGATTTCAGGAAGTTCAGGAAATTTGTAGGTAGGGCAATAAGGGTTTTCTTCAGGAGTGTCTAAGCAGAAGGAACACATTTTGGAAAAAGAACAGAGAGGAAAGATTTAAAGGGTAAAAAGGGTGAGATCAGAATGCATGCAAGCTGCCGAAGATCCTTCTCATGTCTGTGTTAGACCATGACAAATCTGTGGGCATGTCAATGGTTATCATGATGCACCCCAGCCACTTGGAAGGTAACGGAGTCAGTAGGAACTCCTGCTGCTCTGTAAGCATGCACCTCTACCATTTGCAGTGGAAAATATGTTAGCAGTACAGAGGCTATGACACACCGAGTAATTCTCAAATCAACCGAGCAGAAGACACTGGTTACATATACACTAGTCAACTCATCATAGTAGCATCTGAATCAGCAAATGCAAATCATCGTATGTTATTTTGTAGGCATCACGTTTCATTTAGTAAGTACAGCTTGAAACTCACTTGAATGTCAAGCCTTCTGCAAACCTGGATTGTTAATACATCTGAAGTCATTTCTCACAATGAAGACAGAATTGGAAAGTATCATGTTGTAGGGCATGCAAAAGTAATGGATTCATTGGTGATGCACTGTTAACCAGTCTACCAGTGCTCACCATAAATGTTGCTTTTGAAAGGTTTCAAGAATACTGAAAAATCAACATTCTGATCCAGAGACCGCTGAAGTCTAGGGAAATCTGATAGTATCATTAGCAGTTAAATTAGCGATAGGAATCTCTGCCTGCTCCAGTGGTTCTCAGCCTTTCCAGAGTCACAGCACCCTCCACAACTTTTCTGAATGTGGCATCACCCCTGGCTGAGAACCATCGTTGTACTGAACTTACCTCAGTAGTTCTCAACTGGGTGCTGCTGCCACTGCAGCCAGGTAAGCCCAGCCCAGGAAGGGCTATGGCATGCATGCGTTCTCCTGCCTCAGGCAGGAGAGCCAGCTCATACTGCCACGCTTTCCAGTCCAACCCTGCATGGTTTCTCAGAAACAGGGATATAGCAGGTGAAAATGTCCAGAGCACTTCTGTTTCCAGGAAGAGCATGGAGGAGGTAGGTCCCAGGGGTGGGGGTACAGATCAGGAAAAGCTACAGCATAAGCCAGTTCTTCTGCTACTTTAAAGTCATCAAAGAACCTAATGCAGAATGATTATGCACCTGTGCTGCAGTTCTGTACTCATGCCAGTTTTACTTGGCCACCACTGCTATGGCACCTGCATCACAGCACCCTTGATGGGGTCTTGTGGCACCCTGGTTGAGAACCACTGCTTTAGACATTAATGATGGCTTTAAACAGTAGCAAGGGAACCAAAGCAACCTGAATTCTGCTCTTAGTAGGAACATTTTTAAATCTCCAATTATTTTGTTTTCAAATATGTTTATTTGGAAATGCTGGACAATTTAATCCCCAAGAATATTTCGTATGGAAGAATTAAAAATAACGAAATGAGTTTTGCTTCCTAGCACCAATCTCTGAGAAGAGTCAAATGCCAATCTCCCTTCTTCAGGCCCACACCTGCACTCCATCTCACTGCTCTGAATGACTGATCTGCATTTGTTACAGCATAACCATGGCAATGTTTTTGAAATATATTCATGTAGACACCAGCCACAGCCTACACAACCAACCAGCTAATGGTTCGGGATCTCAAACAGTACTCTTCTTTGTTAGTGCTTTCAACAAAGTATTTCAATTCACCTTTTAGTGCGAGTCAGATCTCTCCCTGGGTTTATTAGTGTCTCTCCTTTGATTCTATCATTTTAAATGTCCTAGCTGGTTTCTACACTTCAGAATAAACACTGGTTAAAAATGAAAAGCTTCTATTCAATATCTAGTACAATGCTCCGCATAGGTAAAATACATGTTCTCAAGGTAGTTTGTTTAAAATATGCATGTTACAGTACCTTTTGTTAGCTTATGAATCTGTTTGAACATTGTCTTGTACCAATCCTTTGATCTGTCTGTGTTCTAAAGTAAAAGAAACAACACAGGTTTCAGTAAAACACAGGTATGAGCTCCACCAGGTTCTCAGTGGTTTAGGATTCTTTTAACAATACAAACCATTTAGCACCCTTCACTGTATTTTATTTATTTTTATTGACTAGAACCATTTGCAAGGTTGCACTAAAATCAGATGGGCGCAATACTGAAAAAGCTTCAGCAGTCAAGTAACTTCTCTCAGGCTTGTAGTCCTCTTATACCAAATAAAGCTACATGCACTGCTTCTGTTTCTTCCTTCTGTTTCTTCACAGTAGACGAGTGTCCTTGAAAGGTGAATTTTGTACAGTAGCTCATCAGGATAGAGTCCCAAATTCTGAAGCCTGGTCCTGCTATCTGCTATGTGCCCCAAATTTAGGGAGAAGAATTTTGGGTGCCTATCCCTTCCTGAGCTGAGATCCCCAAGAGTGATATAAACATTTCCAGATTTCTTTTATTCCAATTACAATCATTTTGGGGCCTAGGAAAATTTGACCCTACCAATAAATCTAGCATCCGCATGGTCCTTTACAGTGTCTGGGGTCCAAGCTTTGCAAACAAGGAACTATCCCATTATAAGAGAGTGAAAATGACCGACCTAATCTTATAAATGGCACAACGTGAAATGAGGTTTTGAAAATTATTTTACACATAGCACCTGAAGAGTTCATCAGAAACATAGGGAAGACTATAAACATAAAACGAACAGGGGACCATATTCTCTTTTCAGTCAGATCCATTCTCCTTAGTTTAAACAAAAGTTGCATAAGTCTAAAGGAAGACAGAATCGGCCCTCCTCAATTTTCATTTTGACCATGTGCCTATAAGTCAGTGTGTTGTTCTCTTACCCTTAGAGGAATGCCTATATCATCCACAGAGGCGTCGGCCATATACCGAGGACCACTAACAACTCGTCTCTTCTCCTCCATTGCTGGTTTCTCACTTCGAGTGATGTCCTGCACTGGCTTTTCCTGTATTAGCACAGAGTCTACTTTATCAGCAAGTGAACTGACTGGTACAGGATCTGGAAATGAAGGTTAGGTGGAGAGCAGTTAGCTTAATTCCCAAACAATTTATCATACCACTGTTTTATTAAGGCAAAACCCTTGGCAAAACATTGATGGGAGAGACTGTCACTGGTAACATGCGTCTATGGTCTGGATTGATGCAAAAGTTTGATGCAGCCAAGAATGGTCTGGAATAACATAGACACCTTGTGTTTTGGTTGTGTTCAAAGCTGGCTTCGGCATCAGACCTGTAAGGGAGCAAAAATGCTGCTGCTGCTTCCTTCACATCTAAAATAATTAACCTCCTTCCTAATATAACCCAACTCTTCAGTGCTTTGCAAACCTCTCTTTCCCCATCATTTCTGTCTACTGCACCAGCTTGCACAGCAGTAGTTCCCCACTTTTTGGGCAACCTATGCCAGTTTACCAGACTCAGATGCCCACTATTTCAACCAGTGCATGACACTGCAATTTCCAACTTAAATGGGGTTGGAAGTAAAATAAACTTTACTGTTCATTGGACTGGGCATGGCTAAACCAGCATAATGAATCATCCTTAAGCCAAAATCAGCCAACACCATATCAGTGGATACGGACCACTTGCTCTTCAAGAAGACACAATACCATCACAGCTCTATGCTCACACACACTGTGTTTGAGAATGGAGTTCTTAGCATTCTTCTCTATAGCATGAATGAGATGCTAACATAGTGCTGTTGTGGGAAACATGTTTTTTAGAAAAAGGCAAAGGTGTCTGGAAACACTAACATATATAATCAGGAACCAACATGCAGAATCCTGACCAGGTAACAATTAGATATTTAAAAACAGCATGAAATAAATACAACGAGGCTGGTCAAAAGGCTCTGGATATCTAATTCCCATCAAAACCCTGGGAGAAGGCAACCAGGTCCCCTAGACAGCTTTGACATTTACACCCTACAGACTGACAGAGGGTGGGTTTTGGTAGTGGACACAGTTTAATTCCTATTGAAGCATCTTACCCAGCATCATTGTTGCAGAAACAGAAAATATATGTACTGTAATGTGGCTTGATTACATGCATCTCACAGATATTTAATTTGTGTGGATCTGATCAGTGGGTCTTGAGCTCGGTCTACAAATAGTGTGGGTCTGTTTATATGCTCAGCTACATAGCCTGGCTTTTCAACTCAAGGTAGTTAACAGCTTCTGGTTTTTAATGTATGGCAATTCAGAATTTAATCTAAACCAGGATAAATAAAAAAATGTCCTCAAATTTTGAATCAGCCTGTAGTGCATGACTACAACCAATCTCCTCTGAGTACACAGCAGTTATGTCACTGAGAGGCTGGGCTACTTGCAAGCATTCTGGGTAACTCTAGCCAAATGCACCTGCCTTACTGCTGAAACAGCCCAGACATCTGTTCACTCCATCCACTAAGGGGTTAAGTGTCACAACCAACACAGGTGTAGAGAAGCATGCCCTCCTCACACAACACAAATACATTAGAGCAGGCTTTTCATCCCCCACTTTCTTATCTGGTCTCCAAATACCCATCTGTTTCAATCTAAGTCCCACATAGGTGGCCAGAGACGACAAACTCTTTCTCTCCCTTTCAGTGAATTCAGCAGAAATAAATTCTGCAAGAGCCATGAAATTTAAAAGAAAATTAAATCAACTAGTGCCTCTGGGTGTGGGTAGCTGTAGTTCAGAATGCTGTCTTGGCTTTAATGGCTCTGCCTAAGGTTGGCATGTGCTGGCAAGTGAAATTTAGGCTTAAGCAGTCTGTTATAGCATGACTATTTCTCACAGCAGCTTCTACAGTCTGGCTTCCCCTGACTTTAAAAGAGGACTGGTGGCTGTAACCAGTTATTGGAAATGACAAGTCAAAAAATCTGTTTCCCAAAAGCACTTCCTTCCATCCTTGGTCTCCTCCCCACCTTTCTCCATGTGTTCAGATAAGACAAAGGACCATCCAAACATTACCTAATTCTTCTTAATGCCCAGGGATAAGCAGTGTTTGTGCCAGATGCAGATGAGGACAGAAAGCCAGAATGTTCTTTAATTTTGGGTGCCCAGTATAAGATAAGGGCCTATTTTTCAGAGTTGCCAGGCACCAACTCCTTCCGAGTGCTCCCATGTAGGCACCTAACAGCTAGGACACTCATAATTAGAGACTAACTTTCCACACCTAAGTTTAATTAATTTGCTCAAGGCTACTGGACAGGTCAATGACGTGGCCAGGATTAGAACAGAGGTGTTTCTAGCTCACATCAGCCCTTCACATTTTATGCCTTTGAAGTATGTCTAGTTCCTTCAATATTCTCACATATGTTAACCCCTGCTACCGGGCACAACACCAATTTGGCAAGGAGCGGATGGATTGTTGGCTGCTTTGAAACTATGGTGTGCCATGTGGATCTGCAGCACAAAACTCATATACCTCAACACTTCAAGGTCTCCAGGACAGGATTTCACCACACGGATTCTGTGTAGCAGAAATGACCATGCTTTTAGAGTCTATCCCATCAAAGCTTTGCCAAGTCCTATCCTTGGTATTACAACACTGCATGCATCTTAGAGAGAAAGGAGACTCTTTATTTACATGCACATCACCACAGTGCCCAAAGCCATTACATTTGCATAAATCCGAAAGGGGTGGTTAGCAAAGGAAAGGATCGTGCGTAAAGCCAGCAGTGGCTGGACAGTACCCACAGCAAACACAATTCTGCATGGCAAAATTCCCTCTATTGGGTTTTTTTAGTTAGGTTTTCAATGCCCATCAAAATTCCTCCTTGGTTTTTTCTTTTGAAAAAAGCAGGAAGTTATTTATTAAATGGCAAGAACAGGGCAAGGCTAAAATAAATCACATATTCAGCATTTGTGTCCTAGGTCCTATCTCTGGGATCAGATATGCTTTCTCTTTTAGCTCTATTGTGCTCCTACCACAGAGGACCCTCTGTTCTATATTCAGCATTTACATTTTTGTTTGTAGTGCTTGGCCTGTTTCCTTGATCCAACTACTTGCTTCCTCTGAAAAACACAGTATGGGAAGACATGGTGAAAGTAGGCTATTCTTCTATGAGTCTGAAGACTAGAAGGAAGTGTTGAGGGTGTGTAAGGATATGAACTCTGGAAGAGATCTTAGCTTTTCCTCATCTCTCTCACAGCTTCTTGGAAAAAAAGCCTGTAAAATGATAGCAACAAGAGGCTGCTCTGGATCATCTCTTTCACTGTGAATGTTGGAAATGAAAGTCACGTGCCTGTGCTACAAAGGAGAAAATGGTTTGTCAATGCCTGTGCAATTCACTGGCAGCAAAGGTCACTGGGACAGGGATTGAGACTGGATTCTTATTAAAAGGCCTGAATGATCTTGTAACTGTTATAGTGTTACTTTTATGAAAGTTAAGATTATCAATAATTAAAATAATTATTTTTAATGAATTCTAAAATAAAGTAATTATTGTCATTAACAATTAAATGGCATGGTTCATGGTTTAAACACACAACCTCCAGGACTCAGGAAAGGCCAACTCTCTAAGCCCTCTTAACCTGTACTGGCTAATTCAGCACACACAGCCCACCTAAAGATGTGGGAAGGGGGGGGCACGCAAGGGGGGAGGTCTTCAGAATACCTTAAAGAAACAGACAAATTGACCTAGCCAGACTGATGGTCTCCTATTGCCATTCTTCTAATGAGATAAAGCATTAACTCTGAGGGCTGAGATATGATTTGGAGCTGGTTTGCACGAGACCAATCCCGCCTAAAGCTGTTAACGTGTTATTGGTGCAGTCAAAGGTTTGTGAATTCACCATGCTAGGCAATAAATGGGAACCTATATGGAACATATCAACTAACTAACCAAACAAACCAGGTGTTTTGGTCTGTTTTTCTTGCAGTGTATTTAACATTCATGAAAGGTTCTGGAATGATAACCTTAGAGAGAAAAGGCTTTTGTCCCACAGACTAGGGATGGCCTGGGAACACTGAAGCAAGGTCTAACTCTGTGCCAACATGCAACTGTCTCCCCAGGCAAAGTCTGAGGGCAGTTCAGTTTCCATGGCTCATTCAGCTATGGCCATTTTGCTACAACTGCCAACAAGGAAATCCATCTAGTGCCAAATACAATGTGCTTTTGTGGACAGGGGCACTTTACCTAGGAGGCAAACTAAAGCAATCATCTCCTTTCACTACTTGCCTCCCACAGCCATCTAAAATCAAAACAACCCAGAAGATCAATCAGCGTGAAACAAATTCCACCCTGACTTATTTACCATACAACAAAACTTCTGTAGGGTTGCAGAAAGTGCATGACAAGGGAGAATACGGCTCCAAGTTATTTGGAGCACGCCAACTACAGGGTATCCAGGCACCAGACAAAATGCTCCATATATCTTTTGAGCTATCCACTTTTGATAGAAACAGCATGTGGTCATCCAGCCACAGAGTTCTACTCATGTGATCAAGAGGATGTAAAAAAACAAGGGGCAGAGGAGACAGACGGCCAGGTCCACATTATTGTTGTTCCAAGGCTTCTCTCCATTATTCCAGATTAGGGATCATTTGGGCTGGAATAAAAGGTAAACAGAAATAGTCCACAAAGCTGGGAGGATTTCCAAATGTTTCCAGTTGAGAAATTAAAAATGTTCCTCACCATGAAGGGAAACACCTGGAGAAAGAGTGAACTGAGAGGAAATCTGTCTCTGAACTTGCAGCCAAGAAATAAAATCAGAGCCTGCAGGTGTCTATATGGATACCAACTCTACTGGGGAAAAAAAAAAAAGACATGCATGTGAACTATTACACTGCTTGATGTCACCTAACCAGGCAGTGTAACCTTGTCACAGACATCAGGGCTGCAAGTCTGCCCCTGCAAGTTGGTGAGTGCCTCCTAACTACAGCAGGGTTTGAAGTGCTTTAGGACCCTTAAGAAGAAGGCCAAGAGCAAGAAAGACCCACAATCCCAAATTTATATACTGGGGGGCTGCATGCTGACTGCTAACTCGCTTGCACTCTCTCTCTTTCTTTTCCTCTTTTCTCCCTTGTTTCAGTGATTAACACTTGAAGTTGAATAGGTAATCTACCACTCTCTCTGTTCCCATAGCCTACTACTGAGTCTATGCCAGAACCAGCAGGAGAAATAGAACAGGAATTTGCAGCCCTGCTGAGAGACCACACAGGGGAAATGGCATGTGCATTCAGTTTTATTGCGAGTTGTGTTACACTCAGCCTTCTTACTAAAGCCTCAGCTCCCAGAGTCCTGTGATTACATGTGATTGTAGTTTTCTTCTTTTTTTTAAGGGGAAAACATGTCTCAAGTATTTTTAAAGGCTCAAAAAGCAGAAGGCAAGCAAGGGACTGAAAAGCTTTTTTAAAAATATAATAATTTTGACATTTCTTTTTAAAAATTAATCAACTTCGTAATTTGATTAGTGGTTTTGGAATACTTGCAGGTGACTGAATTAGTGAGGGGGCCTGCTTGTGACTGCATTTCCATCGTTCTGAGGCTCAGCAGAAGCTGTTGAGCTGGGGGATACATTTGTTTCACGAAATTCAGCTTATTGCCTTGCAGTTACCAAGAAGTGTGTTTGCTAAAGGTACTTTGCAAGCTAACAAAGTAGCTGCTTTGCTCCAGCAGAGGCAGCAGCTGGGGAGTGGCAGACCTTGTGCTTCATACCTGCCAGGCTACTAAGCCTTTTTTGCTGTTCTGTGGTAGAGAGGGAAAACAAGAATACAAAACAAGTGGGTGAGACAGAGAGCAACTGCCTTGCTGCTGTGCTTCTGACAGGCAAGAAATATGCTGTACATCAAATAGCTGAAGCTACTGAAGTGGATCCATTTTGAAATACCCTGCCAAAGTGACAAACCCACAGCATCCTCTCCAAACAGCAGACTGCAGAATTATGTTGCAGTCTTATGATGCACAGTGACTAAATACATTTGCAAAGAGCAAGTATCTTTATGTCCAAGAAGGAAAAAGCTAAATAGAAGGCAATTTAAAAATAACCATAAAGATAACTTAGTGTCAAACAATCCAACACATAATGCTCAGTTGGTATCAATATGAAAATGATATTATCATTCAATAATAATACTGTAGATTCATAGACATTAGGGCTGGAAGGGACCTCGGAAGATCATCGAGTCCAGCCTGAAGGCAGGAAGTCAGCTGGGGTAATAGGATCCAGCAAGATAAGCATCCAATTTACTCTTGAAGGTGTTCAGTGTAGGTGCTTGAACCACCTCAGATGGCAGGCTATTCCAGATCTTGGGGGCTTGGACAGTAAAGAAATTCTTCCTTATGTCCAGCCTGAAACCGTCTTGTAGTAGTTTATAACTGTTCAACCTCATCATCCCTTGGGGCACTCTGGTGAACAAACATTCCCCCAGATACTGGTGGTCACCCCTGATAAACTTATAGGTGGCCATCAGATCACCCCTGACCCTGCACTTTTCCAGGCTAAAGAGCCTGGAAATTAATGCATATCCAATGTCTTTGAGGCAAGGATTGCAAAGTGCTTTGTGATCACCTAGACGCACAATAGCTCACTGCGTTATGGAACCCATGATTATTCTGATTCTACATATAGATAAACAGACATAGATCTGACCAACATTTTCAGAAAGGTCTACTCATTTTACGTGCCTCCATTTCTGAGTTCCCAGCATGAGACCCTTGAGATGTCTTATACTGGCCACATACAAATGGCGGAACTCAAAACAATTGGTAGACACTTGCCACAAACATTTATTTAAGTAACTCACTAAGTCACATAGTGAGCTAGCAACAGAGCTGGTAACAGAACCCAGGAGTCCTAGCTCACAGTCCCCTGTTCTAACCACTAGACAATACGTTTTTCTTTTCTTTTTTTAAACAGCTAGTGCATTCACTCGAAGTACATGGGGTGTTTCAAAAGACATGTTTTATGCACAAAAGATATCATTTTGCTTGGAAGTACATGTGGTGAATTCCTGGAATGTTAAAGCTTTAAAGAATTGAACACTGTTGTTTTTGATTATAAAACACTTAGAACATGAGGAAAGCAGAACTTTCTAGGGGAAAGTCAATACCTTAGTTATGGCAGTATTGTACTCAAAATGCATGGTCTGACTGTTCCCTAGCAGCAATAACCCAATACCTCACTGGAAAATTACTGCACTTTGGGGATGCTTCATTACCCATGGTTTTCACTCTCATCCTCCATGCAATTCTGCAGTATGCAACAGTCCATTAGATGTATACTGAATAGTCAGAATTCTCTATGTATTGTGTGCAAAGTGGAGCTACTCACCATGGATGAAATTTCTCTTCCCTGAGCGCAGCCCTCTCTGCATGGATGGATGCTGTCCGCAGGTGTTTCATGAGCCTTGTCTCCTAACCCACACTACTTCCTGCCCCCACCCTCCACCAATGGAAAGCTGCCCAGGAGCATCACTTTGAATTCCACTAGCTTACAGAAATAACCAGTAAGCACCAAGAGAAAAAGAAAGGGCTTCAGACAGAGATGACTGCACTTGATAGGGGAAATGGGAATCAAGCTACTTACTACAAAGTTTCCTCTTCTGAATTGGGTTTCAAGTAAGGAAGGGTAGATTCATACATGTGTTATAACACATAACAGAAGACGAGTGCTGGACTTAGCCATCAAACAGAGGGTTTCTGCTGCAGAAATTAATGCCTTTGTTTAGTAATTATGCAGGTCTTCTGAGACAGGTGGTTCAAAAAAAGGGAGAGCTTGAGAAATGTTTGCTCATTTCTCCTGTGAGAAAAAGAATATACACTGGGTAAATTACCTCTAGTGGAACAAAAGGGTGCTTTATGCATAATATAGAGGAAAGGAGGTTTCCTCTATATTAGCTTTTCTGACAGTAGCTGAAGTAAAGAAGTTGGAGGAAAGGGAGGTACAGGTTGGTCCATTTTTCTGTATTACAGAAGCCACAGAGTAGACACAATCACATGAGATAAGGTGTTTCCATGCTTATTCAAATGTTTGAAGGCTGTCAGCAAAACCAAAAGGGCCTGCCAGTTGTCCAGAGCATGCATGAAAAGATTAAAGTACCTGCCAGCAAGAATGAAGAACTCATTAATTATAGATGCTTTCAGAGCTCCCAGAAGGGTGCTGAAAGAGAAATATTCAAATCAATTTTCTTAAAAATCCTTACTGTCCTGTGAACAAAGGAAGAAAGAAGACAAGATATTCTGGAAGAGGTATGAGGTACAGTTTCAGTTTTGTGGAACTGTACCACCTTCACTGAAAAGAGTGGGGCTGAACAGTTTGGCAGGCCTGTATTTCAGTAGAGAGAAAGCTGGTCTTATATAAAACAAGTTGGCTAAGCTAAGCAGAAAGATGTAAAACTAGCCACAGAATGGGAGAATGAAGAGAGGGAGTTGTTTCAGAGTCACTGACAAATAAGAAGCAAGTGATGCTTATGGACTAATGTTCTTACTGATTAAGCACAAGATTTGATATGGGAGCAGACTCCTCTACAAACCACTCAATCACACAAGCAAACTGTATGACTGACCCCTAAATCAATCATGCGTAGGGGGAAAAAAAGCTGCAATATCACAAAGCTTTCCATCTGAGTGACATGCTGCCAATACCAAACTACCTCTGAAATTTCCTAACTGAAAAAGTACTGAAGCCAACCTGAGGGAATTCTGTATTAAACCTCATCTTGAAAGATAAAGAGGAATTGCTCTTGGGAGTAAACAGTGTTTTTTTAGATTCAGGCGACTATGACTTTATTGACTTTCTTCTGTTTGTACATAAGAAATGTAATTACGTTCAAACCAGTAATATATGTAGTGCTTTTAAAGGGCCAATTTCACCAAGTTGCAAACAAAGTTTCACCAAGTAAGTACTTTCACCAACATTCACAAAATAAGAAAAATTGGCCAGAAGAAACAATTTAAGCAGAAAGCATGAAAGATGATTAAGAACCGTTTGAGAACCTTCTACTAAGTGACCAAGAAGCCACAATCCCATTATTTGAGAAAGAAGATTGTGCTGGTTAAAATACCACCAACCTGGCTGGTGATAAGGGAAAGCACTTATTAAAAATAACCTCAACATACTGTACAAGAAATGGAAAAAAAGAAATTGATAGCACTGAGTGTAAATTAGTTGGTAGGAAGTGTAGAAAACTGACAATAAACCAAAAGGATGCAAAGAGAAATGGGGACTAGAAACGTGATAATAGATGGTTTTTCTATCTAGTGTGGAAAAATCTAATAAGAACAAATGTCTGAAGGCTGAAACCGAATACATTTAAGGGAGAGAGAAAGCACCAGATTTTAACCCATTGAGACAAATTATACCCAGGGTTGTGGTGGATTTCTCCATCACTGGAAGTTTAAGTCAATTTTTATACTTTTCTGAAGTTCTGCTCTAGTTCAAGCACAATCAACGTAGATTTTTACGTAGAATTAATACAAGAAAGTCCTGTGACCCATGTTAGGCAGATTACACAATTACAATGATCCTTTCTGGCCTTAAAAATTATGGAAGAAAATTTCTGTGCAGCAAAGACACTTAAATAAACCACATGAACTACAAATAACAAACAAGGTTTATAAAAATCAAAGGCCAATCTTGCTAAAGGGAAAGGGTGTGCAGCTCAAAAAACTGTAATAGCTGAAACCTACCTTGAATCATACCTGCTCATCTAAAAGCAGCTGAAAGATTCTGAAATCTGGCTGCTTGTTTGAGGCACCTACAGCAATCTAAAACTGGCATTCGGAAGCATGTAGCAAGGATGCTTCAAGCTCCAGAAGGAGGGAAAAGTACTTATGGCCCCCTTTTGCCCAGGAGGGAAACAAGAGCCGAGTGCTGCTTCACAGCTTTCTCATCTGTCCAGCCAAGACAGTCAAGTTACATCCCACTGAGGACAAGTTAAAAGCAATGCTTTCCATAAAGGGAGAAGGCTCTAAATAGCTACTAAAACAGATTCCAGCTGGAACAGGGAGTATCATCCCAGTTGTCAGCAATAGGTTTATTTAATTGTGCTCAAGAAGTGAACTGCAGTCACTCACTGTGGGGCCAAAGACAGAAATCAGCTTTAGAAGAACTGATTGAAACATTTCAGGAGTGTGAAGGAAACTGACCTGGGAGCAGCTGCTATCAGGCAAAGAATGGCCTCAGTCCCTACTGAGTGATCTTTGATTTTCTGGATAAAAGGCAGATACTAACATCCTCAGAAGAGCCCTTCCATGGAGTCTGAGAGACTCAGATGTCCATATCCCATTGGAATTCAATGGGCATTGGGAACTACCCTTCATTAAGCTCTTTGAAACATACCAGTACCAACTAATACAAATGAGGCCAGGTTAACGTCATGCAGAAGGAAAGAGGAGAGGGAGCAAAGTGTCTCTAACTCCAAGGATGTGCGTACAATACCTATCCATTCAGAGGGAGCTGATCTGAGGAGGGAAAGGCTTTGATCTGTAATTAGAGATGAGCTCAAACAAGGAAATTCAGATCCTGATCAAAGTTCCCTAAGAGTTTAAGGGATGCTGTATTCTGGGGTTTCAATGCATCTAGTTCAAGAGATAGGGATGAGTTGGAAGTTAAATCCCGATCACCACCGCCCCCCCGCCACCAACCTCTAGGGTATTTTGTAATCCAAGGTTTCCATTTGGGCTCTGCTATTTATTAATATGATGTATTATACCAAGTCTGTGGGCACGCAGGAGGACACTTCTATCAGGGTGCTGCTGGCCACAGCCACTCATACCAGCACAAAGGCAGCAACAGGGAGAAAACCCACACACTTCTGTTTCCAGAGTCTGTGCTCTATTGTCTTAGAGCAGTACAGAGACTATGACAATAGCTATGATTTTGTCATGGAGTCACAGAGGACACAAACCAGGAGCTTAAAAAAAAATCTTTGATTCTCATGCTGCACTCTGCAACTCAGTCAGAGATCACAGGAGATGTAGTTCAGTCACAGATGTTGGTTTACGGGAAAGAATGGGGGCATAAACCCTCCAGACCACCACTGTTTCCAATGTACACAGAAGTGAAATGCACTGACATTTTTAGCTATTTCCAAAACTACTGCTATTGTTCTGCATTTCTCTAGTTCAGTACATTATACTTCAACAGCTGTCTAAATTCAAATTACCCAGAGCTATGGGAAAAGATATAACTGCAGGGCTCCTTACCTCTGTTGTGCTGCAAGAGGACGATGGTAGGATTGACAATGGTAGTGGAAGGATACACAGAGGAAGGCTTGCTGATTGATGTTAAAGAGCTTTGGTGTTCACTGCCAAAACTAGGTTGGGAAACTTCATTTAGCACAGGACCTGGGTCCTGAAAATGAGAGGACAAGTTATTATTGTTGTGTCCATGTGCCACTACATACGGGTGTTTCTGGAAAAAGTAATTGTACAAAGAATAAGAAATATATGATAGCAAATTTTAGCAGAAGGCATAAGCACAGAATGTTACCTAGACCTTTAACATGCTCCTTACCCTGTTAATTCCAATTAGTATATTAAGGAACAGCTATTATTCTTCTGCACTGGGTTTCTCCACCCAAGAAGAGTTGTCACTGAATTCAGTCATCATGACATACAAAGCATACACTTGGGGGCAGGAATGAGCTGGTACTCTGACTGTGTGGGGGAAATACACACAAATGCACATGTGTGCGTGCACGCACACACTTTCTAAAGCAGTATTCCTCTCACAGCAAGTAGTAAGACATACAAACTCATGCGATTCTGAGTGAAACCCAATTACAGCAGCTGGCTTTGTAAAGAAGATCAGAAAAATAAGTTTAGTGCCATTGCTTAAGAGACATTAGACAGTGTGACACGAGCCCAACCAGAACTATGCAAAAAAACAGGTGGAGAGTAACCAATAGGACACTAGCAAGAAAGGTATACAACACGGCCTTATGGCTCAAGCCTCATCTGAGCTATGCTCTCCCCACAAGGCAGCCAGCTCCCTTTTAATCTTTCTTTTAAATCAACCCTGGTATCACAGCAGAGAAATCTGTACCACTGAAGTAAAGGCTGTGTGGGCATAGGGATTTTAGACAGAGGCTAAACCTGGAAATGCTCATGCAAGGTGCATCAGGAGCACCAAGGTTTGTTAGCAGGAGAGGGGGGATGGGGAGACATAAACAAAATGCCAGTTTCGATATTTAGCATGACATTTTTTTCCAAAGCTGCTCATGTGATGGAGATAGGTATGTCCCATTTAAAGTAATGGAAAATGAGCTCCCAAAAAGACAACAACATTTATTTCTACAATACCACTGTCAAACTGAAATACTCCAGGCCACCAGCTGTCATTCCTTAATGACAGAGGACCAATAACCAAAGCTCCAAGCCACAGCAGCCTGTTGCTGTTGGCTTTGTCTTGGTTCAATTACAGGGCACTAGCATTCTTGCCATGGGCACCCCATTGAGTTTCATGGCTCTATGAGTAAAAAGTGCCCGCAGGATGTGGCACTAACTTACCTCAAGATAGGGCCTGGTCGCATATAATTCAGAGATTGTTTATGATCAGGCTACATCATTAGCAAAACAATAATCTACAATCAGATTCACTTAAACCAGAGAAGTAGCTCTGGAGGCAGCTATTCAGCTCCACCGGTCAAGGGGCTACTGCACCTAACCATTCCATGAAGATAAAAAGGGACATTACTGTTCAACAGCCTAAAAAAAATGAGAGCTTCTAACACTCTCCAAGGGGTAGAGCCATTCTACTTTCATGGCTATGAAGATATCTCAGGCAGGAGAACCAAAGCAAAGTTTTGTGGGGGAAGGGGAATGATTCAACAGCCCAACACAGCAGACACCTGCCATGGACCAGGTGAGCTTGTCACGGTATATGCAATCCACAGAGAGCGAGTGAGGTGTGCAGCAAGAATAGGCTGAGCCTGAAAAGGTGAATGACCATAGCAGAAGTACAGTGGGCTCAATAAAACATTGTGATAGTTTCACAGCCAAACACACAGACCCAACCAAGAATCTGGGAAACTCTGAGAAGTCCTGTTCACCTAACTTTGTTCCTACTAAAGTCAGGTGGAATAAAACTTGGACTGGCAAATGCAAAATGTCTTAGAAGCCTATGCACTACTGAATCTTGCTGGGACTTAGGATCCAATGCCATGTAGGTGCTTAAGATTTCACAATGATAAAAATCTTATCAACCACAGTGGGAGCAGAATTAAGCTAATACTGAGGACTCCTGAAAGTGCCACTTTCTTATTTCTTTCCATTTCCCATGTGTCTACTATTGCTTCCAGGACCAGCCAAGAGCAGGGAAATCATCCTCATGAGAAAAGTAATTTTACTGGCATTCTAAGCCAGGAGGTACAAGAAATGCAATAGGAGGATAGTGCTTGTGAATAGAAGTGAATCCAGGATTTTAAAATGGTGCAGGAGCAGCAACCACCGCTGCAAGGGTGACTGCACCCCTGCTCCAGTCTCCTCCTTTCCATCCTCTCCACTGGGGCAGGCAGACCAAGTCCCAGGGCAACAGCTAGGGATTTCAAGTCCCAAAAAAGCTAAGCATTACCCCTCCGTTCCCCTCCATGCTCAGAGGCACATCTCATCTCTCTGTACCCTCCTCAACCTACCACTGCTAGTATCCCCACTCACCATGTTATCCTGGAGGTGAGGGGAACTCCTGTTCCACTCCAGCCATGCTGTGCAGGGCCTGGGCTCAGTCTAGGACAGCAGCAGTGGTGAGCAGGCAGGTTCCCTTCTCCATGCCTGCTCCTAGGCTGGAAGGAACAGCCAGTGGGGAGCAGGCCAGGAAAAGTAACCCACCTCCACCTACCCACCATTACCACTGCTGCCTTGGGATGAGCCCAGGCCCTGCCCAGCCCAGCTGGAGAAAGGCCTATTTGTTACTTTAGAGGGATTCTGAGCCATTGCCCACTAAGAAATGCTATAAGCCTCCCTTAAAAAGCAACAACTAATTGCTTGGGACAACTGAAACAACAGGTTGGGAGTGGAGGTCAAATGTTTATAACTAGTGCACCAAGGGGGAGACACTGAGCAGAGAACACTGGACAGTGCCTAGTGGTCCTTGAACTCCTCTCTCCCCCAGGACACTGAGGACACTGTCAGTGGCAGATGACAGTGGAGAACAGGAAGGGAAGGGAGGGGAATGGACATGTCTCTAGGTATGGAAGGGAAGGTAGGGGGAATGCTTACCTTCTTGGGGACTTAAAGTCCTATGCTGCTGCTCTTGCCATGTGACCAGAAAGCACTGCACGGTTAAACCCCTGTACCCCTGTCCATGAGATTTCCATTACAAAGAGGCACATTCAGGAAAGTATCCAACCCATTGGAATTTTTTATTTTTTTTTAGCTCAAATTTCTCCCTTCTGAAAAGGTCAGCGGATTTAAAGACAAAATAAATCAACACAAAAAGCATGGCAAGCTGCTTTAAAACTGTGAGAATATTGAGAAATTTAAAGAATGCAACAGGTGCATAATCCAAATTTTGGGAACATGTTCTCCCTAATCCCTCAGTACCTACAGGCACGCAAGAGTTTCAGATGAGTAAATGATATTCTGATCTGCCGGTCAATATGCATTAACACCAATCTTCAGGTAACATCAAGACCCTTCATTTCCATGTGGGACAGAGTGCCAGCTTAACCTTTAATTGCCTCACTTTTCTCTGCCTTGCATGTTACTTATACACGATTGGAGGGTGCTGCCAAGAGGCCACTTAGATCAGCTAGTTGGAATATGAGCAGCAGGTGCTATTTCTTTCCAACAAGAGGTATAAATAACATGCATAGTACATGGCTCTGAGCAAATACTGGTTAAAACCAAAGGCCTGTATTTCTGCACTTCTGTAGAGTGCAGGGCAGGGGTGAAGAGAGAGACTGTAGAATGATGGGGGAGTAAAAAACCCCCAAAAGAATTGTAAAGTCCCAAGCAGGGTAAGGCAGGCAACATACATGCAACTAGGAGAAGAACATACAAAATTTTCAGTTGTCATGCTGCTGACAAGAAGCTAGCTGGTGCCCCTCTTTCAAATTTTAGTATGCCAAGGAGAAAGTCATTTTAATCTGAGAATGTAAGTTTAGGAAAGGTGCAAGGAGGGTACACAGTGAGCTTACTGTATGTGAAGTGACTCCAGTGATTTCAGGCTCCAAGCTTCTGTGCAAAGCCTCTGTGACTGGAGGGACCAATGGAGGTGGTGGTGAGAATGATGGCAGTTTCGGGCAAACTGGGGGCAAGATGCCAGATGAAGTGGGTGGTTGGTGATGGTGGGGGCCCCTCTGCAGGTGAGGGGGAATGAAATCATCTAGTGTCGGAAAAGTCAGAGGTGAGCCAGGAGGAACGGTCTCAGGGAAGATGGTGCCTTGCCCAAAAGATACCAGAGGTGGTGGTGGAGTGCTGGAGCTGCCTTCTTGCTCTCTGTCTGTATTAACCTGGAGGAGTGGGACTACTATAACCCCAGGCTGAGCTGTGGTAATGCCAAATGCATCCTGTAGAAAACAAGGTGTTGTTATGCAATGGGGAAAATCCATAATCCACAGTACTGCAGCCACATAGTAACATGCAAGGATTCACCCAAAACAAAAGTAGTTTTAGCCGACAGTCTTTCCTCAGAGAGCACATTCTTCAGCAGTAGAGTGGCCTAGGGGCCAGTCTCTGTAAACATATGGGATAATTCACACAACTTCTGTTCCCTGTCCTTTTATTTGCAATCCAGATTTTATCAAACCAAATATCTACCCTCTCCTGTCACTTGAGGACAGCTAACTAGGTTATTGAAGCATTTGCTACTTTTGTGCCTACCTAAAATAGAAATATTTCACATAACCCAAGCCCACCAACTTTAGCCTATGAACAGCACACAAACACAAACAAAGATACCAATATTTTGAGAGAAGTTAGAAGTTATTGGAGAAGATACCACAAGATTCAGGTCGCACAAGATCCAACCATGTGCAGAAATTAGGAAGGAGGTACAGCATTAAGGGATACTCCAATGAACTGGAGAGCCAAAAGAAAACAAGATTATGGAGAAGACATGTACCATTTTGCGTCCCTTCGCCTTGTATTGTTGCTGCTGCTGCTGCTGTTGCTGTGGTGTAAGGTACAGCTCTTTTCTCATCCTGTTTTCACTGCCAGCCGTATTCTGGGACTCTATCGCTCCTTCCCTCACAGTTTGAGGAGGTGGCAATTGAGTTCTGGAGGGATGGCTTGCACCATAGCTAACTGCGTCTTTACTGAGGACAATGTTAAAGTACGGCCTGGGAGGGATAGGAGGAGGAGGAGGAGGAGGAAGAGATTTTCCAGTATCTGTTACAGAGGAAATAATGTTGGTGGCTAGTGCTCGAGTGACCTCAGCTCCCAAACCGGTGCTGTCTGTTTGGTCATGTGCAATGCTGGTGGGATTTTCAGATGCGTCCGAGCAAGTGCTGTTAGATAAACAAGCTACATATAGACTGCTGACCTTTTTATTTGCTTTCGTCTCATGACTGGAATTCATTCCAGCTGTACTACTGGGATCTGCCCTGGCAGTGCTTTGTTGTTTGGATGATGCGCCTGATAACAAGCAGCTACTTCCCAAAAGCGACTGACCAGCATGCATCGCATCCTTGGGGGTCAAACCAATTGCAGGGAGGGGATGCCCAGCTGGATAGCCTTGCTTCCCACTGGGGATTGTCCCAAAAGGTGTAGGTGATGAGGTGTAATACTTCCTACTGGTACTCGGTGACGCACACTGTGTGTAAGGCTTAGGTGCATTCAGGTACACACAATCCATGATGGGCACTGGCAACAGGTTGGTTACTTTAGTGTCAGTGCAAGGACGCCATGCAAAGCTTTCCTCTTTTGGAAGAGGAGGACGGGGAGGAGAAAGGGGCTGTCCAGGCAGATTCAAGTGGGAAGGGGAAAGGAAATCAGCCAAATAAAAGGAAAAAGGGGAGGGGGGGAAGAAACATTGAAAGAATGAAGTTGGTCATTAGATTTGGGTTAACAGGATTTAATGCAGTGAGAACAAAAAGCTAACACAGTATCTTCAAGTCCAGCACACAACTTACTCTCTCCCGTTGCTGCTCCCTGAGATAAGTGACAGGGTATCCAGCTTTCAAGCCCCAACCTATACAGTGTGTCTCAATTCTTTCAGGAGTCAAGAGGGAAGCTGGAACAATCAAGATCCTAAAATTCCCTGGGACCTTTGGGGAAGCTCGGACACAGATCTGAATATAAGCAATGATCCCTCTGTCCCCGACTCAAATACTTGAGGACGTTTGACTCTAGAAGAGAATCCAAAATCATCTGCCCAGGGCCATCTTTACTGTGCACTAAGCAAAGTGCTGAGAAATGGTTTAGAATGTCATACAGAAATTCATATGCAGATGCAAAACCCGACCACAGTGATATGCTGCATTGTGCACATTCCATTACACAGAGAAAAATTAAATAAAAAGCCATCCTTTATTTTCACTGGAGGTTGACACGCCAGTTCCCTTCCAAAAAAGATCCCTGGTCCTCAAACTGCTTTCAGAAAACCTGCATAGTATTAATCTACTGAGGAATTGGGTTCCTAAGAAATTGTCTTTAGAGTGAAACTTGCTGAGAGCAAATCCTTGTGTCTAGTTAAGCAAAACAAAAGTCCTCAATGGTTCCCCCCTCCACTGCAGTGTATTAGATTGTAATTCCAGTGCAACATGCAGGCTGCAACCCCAATTACAGTCAATCTTTGCTCACAGCCATATTGTTCGGTAGCAAAATGAGTGACTTTACTGCATGGAAGTTTTATTACATTTATTGCTTCATTGCAAATGACTGAAAAACGATAATCTCTGAGAAGACAAATGACTAAAATGTCAGCCTTAAGAACAGTAATTTCCTACATGCTTACAAGTTAACCCACAGGAGATGGGGAAAGATAGATTTTATGTACATAGCCCCATCACTGTAGGCATACATTTGCCAGGGCAGTGGTAAAATGGCAGGGATAAAAAAGGAAAAGAATGTTTTAACAGCCCTAAATTTCCAAACCATGAAAAATGTTCTCCTTTGAAGTTCATCTCCCCCAGGCAGCTTTGGGCCACAAACTACTCTGGCGTATACTGCCACAGATCTAGGGTTACTCCATTGATTTTGGGGAAACTGAGGCTTTCCTTCTTCATCCTAACACTGATATGATTGGCAGAGGCACTCAAGCCCCTTCCTCTCCAACCTTGTCTGCCTTCCTGCCTGCCCAGCACCACCACCCTTGCCTGCCTGCCCAGCTACCCCCAACACCCCCAATTTAAAAGAGCTGGAAAGTTGATGATAGAGTGTTTTCTGCAACAAGCCCTTTGATCTGGCAGAAACTTCTGCACTGGTTAGAAATGATGCGACCCTATGGATCTTATTCTTAGCCTCAGCCTAGGAAAATACCACTGTGTTCTCAATACTGAAGCATAACAAGTTGCTGGTAAATGCTAACTTGTTAATAGCAACAGCTGTACTCCTGATTTACACCCACATACATTATAGCTGCATTTGCCCCCTTTGCTTTTTGGAGTAGTGTAACTTATCAAGACTTATCTGTAAGAAGTACTCTGCGAAGCTAGAACTGAGCTATCCTTGTTCATTTACATGCTCAGTTAACTGACTGCGAAACAGCTGCCCATCTTATGCAGTAAGTGGCTCTCTCCTATAACACGCTTGCTTCTGGTGCTGTTGGCTGAGTGGTGCTTTTTATCTTCCACTTAAAATTTCAGGCACGGTGTCTGTCTGCAGCTTCACCAAGAGCCATTAGTGATTAAAGCAGTCACCCTGAACTGGGGAAAAGGTTTTAATAGGGGTCCATTTCACACTTAGCAGAGCAGTAACAGATGTCAAGAAAGCAG